CAAGTTTTGTAAAACTTTACACCTATATATGATAGTAGTATATAACTTTACACATATGTATGTTAGCAGTATATAACTTTACACATATATATGTTAGCAGTATATAACTTTACACATATATATGTTAGTAGTATATAACTTTACACATATATATGTTAGTAGTATATAACTTTACACACACACACACACACACATATATATATATATATATATATATATATATATATATATATATATATATATATATATATATATATATATATATATATATATATATATATATATATATATATATATATATATATATATATATATATATATATATATATATATATATATATATATATATATATGTTAGTAGTATAACGAGCTTATTTTTATACATACATCTTCTAATGAAAACTTTATATACTGGTGTGTATTTGTTTGTAAAGATATTTATATATTTTTTGTAATAATTTGACTTTTTTTAGATGTATTATATAATATAAACTAATACCCTTCAACTAAAGCATTTATAGCATAGCAATATTAAACATGAAAATAATGTTACTCATATAAGATCAAGCCGCCCCTATTGATTGTGTTTGCAGACGATACAAAATTGTTTCCGCCAAACAGTATTATTTATGACTTTTTTTCAAATATAAAACTTAAAAACATTTCTGATTGGTTTTAAGTGTAATAAAGGAACATTAAATATTAACAAAACAAAATCTTTTCCATTTCTTAACAAAGAAATGCTTCTTACAAACAAATTATATAATTCTCATTGATAGAATAAAAATAAATAAGGATTTGGATACAAAAATCTTTAACTTGATGAAAAATATGGAAACATCTAAACAATTTTTAAATTATCATTATTTGGTATGTTATAAAATCTTAGGATTCCAATAAATTTAAAATGCAGGTTTTTACTACAGAAATTTGTAATGCAGAATTTTTCCTAGTTGAAACCATGTTGTTAATTGCAAAAAAGATTATTTGATTCTAAATAGTTAAGTTTTGATATTCATCAATTTATTATTTTTGTATAAAAATTAGTTTTATCATAACTTCCTCTACGATGTACAATTTTTTTAGCTGGTGTGAAAACCATTTTTTCAATTTTTCATTTTAAAAAACCACTTTATAATATGACATCTATTACTACTCAAACCAGGGCCCTATAAAATTTTTTTCAAGCCTGGGTCTGTAAATATAGAAGGGCCTATTATGGCAGTTAGCGAAAAATCCAGAGCGGCTACGAGGCTATACTAAGGAGCCTGGAAAAAAAAATTATGTTGCTGATAAAAGGATACAATCTAGGTATACTTTAAGAGTATTTTTTAATTATTTTTTACCAACTGGTTAGGTACAGTTACACTCCTTTGGCCCAGATATATATATATATATATATATATATATATATATATATATATATATATATATATATATATATATATATATATATATATATATATATATATATATATATATATATATATATATATATATATATATATATATATATATGTAATATTCGTAAACAGAGAAGTGATGTACATAAATGCCTATAGTACAGTCTAACATTAAAAAAGCACCAATAACACTATCTACTTTATATTGGAATGCAACTACATTTAGCAATATAAAAAAGCACCAATAACACTATCTACTTTATATTGGAATGCAATTACATTTAGCAATATAAAAAAGCACCGATAACACAATCTACTTTATATTGGGATGCGATTACATTTAGCAATATAAGTAAACCTCATTTTTAGTTAATTGGATTATAATGACTTTAGACCTTCTAAGTGACCATAATTCCATCAACGGTTCCTTTTGCGCTTCGTCTTTGTTTTATTTTTACCTTCATTTGTTACATTTATAAAATTTGTTTTGTGCAATTTTTCTCTGTTTTTTGTCTCAATCACTGTTTTGAACTATATGATAAGACAAGCGCTTCCTCTAATTCATTTTCTGAACTGCTTTCTTTTTAGTTTTTAGTATTTATTTTGTTAACTTATTATAAAATCGTAATCTTATAAAGTTCTTTTTATTTCTACTTTTTACTTATTCTATTGTATCTATTTTATATTATCAGAAAGTAAACAAATATATAAAATAAAATTTAAATAAAAGCACTTAACACTTACTATATTGGCTTGATGATTCTCAACTTTTTATTGATGATAACTTCTTCTTCTTCCTTCTCCTGTCATTCTTCTACATCTTCTTGATGATAACTTCTTCTGCTTGCTCATGTCATTCTTCTACTTCTTCTTGAGGATAACTTCTTTTTTTTTTTCTTGCTCGAGGACATTTTGTTTGCTTGTTATTTTGATATTTCCACGGTGCGTCCAGTTGTGTTTATGAAGTTTTTGTTTTAGTTTTGGAGTGAAATGTAAATTATCTTTTACTGTGTCAACGACATGGAAAGGGAAAATATTTGGTTTGTAATCGAGTGAAAAAACTTAGAGTACTTTCTTCTTTTTTTTTTCTTTTTTTTTTTAAATGTAACGATTATCACGTGACATTCTTTCTTGGTTTAAAAATAATATCAAGATTTTCACACATGACGTTGTATTGATTGTTATCGTTTTATTTAACAGTTTTGTGTATTATTTACACTTTTCCATGCTAAATACAATACTAATGCTTTATTTTGAAAATCTTCTGTAACTCCTGTAGCAATTAAATACAACTCAAAATCTTATACAACTCAATGAATGAATAATGTAAAATATAAGTATCTACAATTAATAAATCAAGTATATTTGTTAACTCGTTTTTATTCATTTGAAATGTTGCTTTAGTAAAACATCTTTCAAAAAAACATTTAAACATACTAGAAAACTTTTTCAGCTTGTTGTTTATAAGATTCTACAATACTGACTTTCCATTTTCAGTGGTTATATTTAAAACCACTTGTTATCGTTACACTAGAATATTAATTTTTGTCTTATGACCTTTTAGCGGCTTAAATAGAATTTAGAATATTGATATTAATTTCACAGGATGAGCTAGGAAGGGGACGATAAATGCAACCTATCAAAACTTTTTCTTTACCATATTTAATGCTTTATATCTGCTCAATAATATTGAAATTAAGTTAAATATTATTTAAATTTATATATACATTTATTTATATATATATATATATATATATATATATATATATATATATATATATATATATATATATATATATATATATATATATATATATTTTAGTTATTTCAATGTAAAGATTAGATGTGTTTTTTTCCGGAAATTGTAAAAAAATTCAACTCTACTTCTCATTTATTTATATGAACATAAAAAAAATGTTAAAGAAATGTTTTTAAAGGTTTCCAAACTTTGTGTGGAAACCTTTAAAAGTAATTTCCCACTTTTTAGCACTATCAGAAATATGAAACATATAATTAATTTTGTAAATCGTTTTATTAAAATACTAAACGTTTACAAACTCAATGTCTAGACTTGTCTAGTATGTTTATAAACTCATTGAACGTTTTTAAACTCATTGTGAACGTTTTCAAACTCATTGCAAATACTTTCAAACTTATTGAATGTTTACAAACTTGTTGTCAAACGTTTACAAGCTCAATTTCGAGACATAAAATTGAAAAACGAGAAAAATTAGAACTTGGTATAAAAGAAAGTTTTGCTCAATAGTTTATACAAAAATTAAACTTTTAAAGTTATACAAACATTAAACATTTGACAAATGGGTTTAGTTAATAAACTATTATTTCGAAAAGGTTTATTTAATTATAGATTTTAGAGTAAAAAGATCTTTAAAAACAAATTGCGATTTGTCATTTTTACAATGAAAAATATAATATAGATGTCTATAATAAATTTTTTTTCTTACTTAGTTTTGGTTCGTTTATCTCGTTCTTTGTTTTTTAAAACTAAATTAAATTTAAAACAAATTAAAGATTATATTCTTTCAATTGATAACATTCTTAGATATTTTTGAGATTTAAATATATATATAAAGCTTCTGTATCTAAAGTGATTTCCTGCTTAGACAATTCTACAACATTTGCCCCTTTCAATATTCCTGTTATAGTCTTGCAGAAGTGTTCAACGGAGCTTTCGTCTATACTTTCAAAACTATTTAACAAGTGCTTATCAGGTTCTTGTTTTCCAGTCTGTTGGAAAGCGGTATCTAACTAGCATCCCACTACTTTCTATCATTAGCAAGGTTTTTGTGTCTTTAATTAACAAACATTTAATCTCTCATCTTGAATCTAATAACGTGTCATCTGATCATCAAAATATGGATTTCAATCTTCTCGTGCAAACTGCTTACTTTGTTAACGGTAATAACCAATAGGTTTTATCGTGCGTTAGATAGATACGGAAAGTTTAAGGCTATCGCTCTCAACATTTCTGAAGACTTTGACATGCTGGTCTTCTCAATGGCGGATTATTACTTTTCGGGGCCCGATGCTATTTTAAAGTAGAAGGTCCCTTTTCATGAGCAACGACAAAAATGAGTAAAATAAAAACTTTCTTGATTTTATGTTTATTTTTTAAAATTAAGCTAAATAAATGCTTTTCTTTTCCGCAAACTTAGTTATCACATCGCTAAAATTCAAAGTTTCTAACAATTTCAACTCAATAGTTAATCTTGCTATATTACTTAAACGACTATGGAGCATTGTTGATCGGTGAATGTTCTTTACTCTTTTAAGAGCAGAGAATGATCTCTAAGCCTCGCAATTTGTTGTGGGAATAGTTAGAAACAAACAATATACTATATAAACATTCAGAAATATCCAATTTAAAACATACAGAGGAATCAATGTGTTTTTAGTTTCAGATTTATATTTTTATGAGAAAAAAAACCTGAAGGTTGCAACTTTAATAATGATACAAATCGTTCAATTTCAAAAATGAGACTATTTTCTAAATCCTTTAAGTACACTTCTAAAAAAATTTTTTTTCGTTTAAATAAAACTTGCAATTCCATGATACTGATAGTTAACAGCTTTTACAGAAATCCAAATAACTTATTTATGTGGCTGTAACCATCACACTTAGTTGTGTCACAAGTATCAATAATGACAAAAAATGTATTCATATAAAACTTGTCAGATATGTTTAAAGTATCAACTTGTTTTTCTCCGTTGCTCACTATTTTAATTAATTTTCTTTTGTTCTTATCAGAATAGTCTTTTTCAATAAACGAGCTAGGTTTTTTCGATTCATTCTCAAATCTCGTAAAGTCATTTCGTAAGTTTTTTACAGAGTCAATTAGTTAAAGTAACATACTGGTTGCTGTATGCAAATCTAATTCAACTTTTTGAAGAAATTTTCTAACTTCATTAAACCTCAAAAGTATGTGATGCCAAACTACAGCCATGAGTGCAAACTCCAGCTTATTTAATCAACACACAGCCTCATGACAAGTATTAGACTTTTCTTCTATATCCTTAGCTATAAAACATAATTCTGCACAAATCACATCAAAATTGTCCACGAAACTATTTGAAGCATCTAAATTACACGATCATTGTGTATCTGATAGGCGCTTGAGTATAGCATGGTTTCCTTTTAATAAATACCAAAAATAAATACAACCTATGCAGAACGCTAAAATAGTTGATAGAGTTGATACACTCACTGGTATTGCGCTACCCTACTAAGTTTAAAGAATGTATAGCGCAGGGGATATAAAAAAGTAAATTACCTCGCTCTTTTAAAGGTGCTTGTAATCCAGAATATATACCAGACGTATTGCTTGCATTTTTGTATGCCTGTTCACGACAATTGCTTATTATATTTATCACATCATATTTTTCCAGAATATCTAAAATGTCAGTAATCAAGGATTTACCTTCATGGCTTTTAATTTTTAGAAAATAAAAAATTGCTTATACATGTGGCCATTAAGATAATGCAGAAATATCACAGAAAGTTGATCCACGTGAGAAGTATCAGGCGTAGAATCTACGATTATTCCTAAGTATTTTGCTTTTTTTATTTTGCTAGTAGTATGCGTTAAAACCTTTTGAGGCATAATATCAATTAGCTCTTTTATAAATAATTTTAGACAAATAAGATACATTACCTTTGTCTTTATTTGCATAAGTGTCAACGTGTTGCTTTAAAACTGAACTAAATCGAGTCAACAGTTCTAACACGCCCGAGTAACTTCCGTTATTTGACGATCCTATAACTTCATTATGGCCTCGAAATGCTAAACCTCTTCCGGCTAAAAAATGAATAACTGCTACTATTCTATTTAAGATTGCAGCCCAATAATTAATTTCGCCTTTATTCTGACTTACCATATATTCATCGATATGAGTAGTTTGTTTTATGAATTCTATCCGCTTAATCATACATTGAATGTGTTCCTTGCTGTTTTCGTGGCCAAAAATAGTTTGTTCAGCTTTTTTCCAATTGTAAAAACCATTTTTGACAAATACATTATCGTAATCTTTTGAAAACAATTTTCAAAAATAACAAAATACAAATCCAGTGGGTTCAGAAAACATTTACCATTTTCGTTCACACTTTTTGCCATTATTCATCACTTTTTGAAAATATATAACCGAATAATATCTATACTGGTTTTTGAACAATCGTTTCGAAGATTCAAAATTAGAGTCTTTATTTTGAAAAAAAGCACACCACTTGTTTAAATACTTAATAGTTTCATTTTCCTTTAATTGTAATTGCATTAAAACAGGGTCTTCATGTAGAATGGTATCTAGGAAAAAAAAATTATGATAAACATAAGCTTAATAAAAAAATGATAAGCGTATGTAATGATTGTCATAAAAAGTAATAATTTATAGAAAAATAATATTTAATCCCTAAAAAGTAAATTTGTTTGTTTAGCAGTCTTTAACCATTGTCACATCATCATAATGTTACTTCTCTTTTTCTTTTCTATAAATACTATAACGGGCGCTGCTCTAAAGAGCTAACATCTCTTGTGCCATCTACTAAAATTCATTCTTGTTTTACTCGTCATTTAATTAAGTCTCATCCTTTTACTGTGATTGTTCCTAAGTGCTCCGAAAATTTTTATTCGTCTAGTTTTTTTCCTCGAACATAATATTTTTGAAATTTACTCGCTTCATTTTATTTTCCTGGTTCTTCAAGCTGTCTTCATTTTATTTTCCTGGTCTTTCAAGCTGTCTGTACAATTATTAGTTATTGCAACATTATAATGCCCTTGACAATTAATTCCGCTTGAAGGAATTCTAGTGTGAATACATACAAAATTTGACTGTGGAATGAATCGTTTTGAACGTTTTGAACGGATAACCTTTTTAATGCTTTTGTTGTTTACCACAATAATATGTTGTTTACTAATGTACCTTAAAAAAATATCCTTCTAAACATGAACGAAAACAGTGAAAAGGGAACATCATTTTTTCTACACAAAAAAGATAAAGACCCAACTTCAGTGTGGTCACATTATTTGAAGTCTGCGGATAATTTGGCAGCAAAATGTAAGAAATGTGGTGTAATTTTAAAAACATTGGGTGGTTCTACAAAAGGCCTTCATACGCACTTATCAACTAAGCATAATTTGAAAGTAACTTCAGCCTACAAAAATTTACCTAGTTCGAGTCAACAGTTGAATGATGTCAGAACCGACGAGAAGCCTCCTACGAAACGAAGAATAACGAGTTACTTTGCATCCGAAAAAAAAAAACCTTAGACGAAACACTGGCTCGAATGACAGCTTTAGTCTCTCAATATTAACAAACAACTTATTATGTTATTTTTTACAAAGTAGCTTGTTGCTACAGCAGCTACATCGGTACCCAAATTTAATAAAGTTTATGTTTACAAATTTATTTTGAAATTTTGATCCTTTTAAAATTGGGTAAAATTTCAAGATCAAGTGATGTTATTACACAATTAAAACAATTTAAGGCGCCGTAGAAAATCAATGTAAGTCATTAAAACATAATGAAATTAAATAAAGAATTGATAACATCAAAAATTATATTCATATATGCAGTATTAAGTTCTGTTTTTTAGCAAATAACTCACATTATATAAAATCCCGGGATACCGGGATCCCGGGATTTTATTTACTTCAATCCCGAAATACCGGGATCGTAATTCATGCCCGGGATTGCAATCCCTAGTAATTACTGAAACTAGTAATTACCTGAAACTGACAAAAACATAAAAATAAACTATATAAACGCAAAAAACTTTCTGCGCAAAACCATTTTTAAGTATCTTCAAAAGTTTGAAAATTTGCTTAAATAACTCATATTGTTTATTAAACAATTTATAATAATTAAACAATGTTTAACTATTATATATTGCATATATTTATATATAATCTGTATTTTAGATGTATATGATATTATTTTAAAGCCAAGAAATCGTATTTATGGAAATTTGATTGAGAAGTCATTAATTTTTCAAAATTATGTAGGACAAGGCAGATATCAGGAAGATATCATTTCCTTTTAAAATTGGGTAAAATTACAAGATCAAGTGATGTTATTAAAGAAGTCTCAATTAAAGTTTGTCAATTATGGAATAAAATGACAGTACCATATTTTACGGAAAAATCTGTGCAAAGAAAAGTAAAGTCTGCTATTCAAAATTATAAATTTGTCATCAAATCTTCACAAAGTACAAATAAAAAGACAATTATTATAAATAACTGGGATAAATTATTTGACTTATTGCCCGAAAATGCTAAATTTAAAAATCTGGAAGACAAACTCTTTTATGAACTTTAAAAATCTTTTAATGGGCGCAAAGGTCATTGCAGTATTGTGACAGAGCCTATTAAAACACATCCGCGAGCCCTGCCACCTAAAAGAAAAAAACTCGAAAAAACAAATTATAGTCAATCGTTTGATGATACAAAGAATTTTAATAGTGAAATTTCAGAAGATAATAGTACGAGTGATGATTACACAATCCCATTGAAACGTGCAAAGATCACCGGTAAAATGGTACCTAAGATATCTGAAAATGAAGGGTATGCAATAAGTTGTACTGCTAAGACATTAATTTGCAGATCGGCAGTCCAAAAAGCATCTACAACACTCGTGCATGAATTAAGTTTGATTCGGTTTTATATAGACTATTCTGAAGAAAGGTGTCACTTACATTTTGATGGTAAGATCATAGACAAACAACGTTATTATAGCACTTGCATTTCGAGTCTAAATCTTTGGTAAATATCTTTGAAAAAATTAGAGGAAGGCAACTCTTTTTCTATTTATAACATGTTACACAATATCATTTTGGAACTTAATTTATTAAATAAAATTTCCGTTGTAATATGTGACACCACTGAAGTAAACACAGGTAATAATTAGGCGTTTGACAAAAATTATTCCAGGTTTAGTGTACCATCCTTGTTGACTTCATGTTCTTGACCTGATTCTTAAGTATTTTATGAACTCAAAGTTTGATTCTTTATCAACATCGCCTAATATTTATGACTGGTTCATTAATGAGTTTATTAGTAACAACATAGTTTAACGCAGCACTAATTGTAAGGTATTTTCATCCTTATGTAAATTTGTTACTTTGTTTTTTTTAATTAATATTTTAGTTTGAAAAAGTCATTACTTTAATTACATTACAGAAATGCAAATACATTTGCAAATATTACATTTGTATTTTTTATTTAGGTTTACTTATAGTTCTTCATTGTTCAGTAGGATAATGATTTTTTGATTTATTTACACAGCCTGTAGTATCGCATGCCATAAAAACAAATTAAAAAAAAATGCAATTCCCGCCAGAAGCGAATTGATCTAAAAGACAAAAATTCCGGCCGGAATTCTGGTATATCCCTACCAAGTTTAAATAACATTATACTGCCATATTACAATTTATAGTTGCAATAAATAATATAAATTAAAAAACTTAATATGCAAAGTTTAAATCAAAATTTTTTTCTTACTGAATTAGACTTGAAATTAGTACTAGAAGCAATCAAGCTTGACAAGTTGACAATTTGCTTATTTCATAAGGTATTCATAACTTCTATGCTAAAATTGACAATTTGCTTATTTCATAAGATATTCATAACTTCTATGCTTCTTTTTTTTTTCTTTTTTTTTTTTTTTTTAATACACTCTTATCTAATAAAACTAAAAGTTTTCTTTTGTGCTCTTGATTTTCTCTTCCTTGTAGACTTTTAATGTTCCTTTTTAAATAAATATAAGTTATAAATTGTTTGATGAGAATCGACATTCAATATTAATTTTTACTTGTTAATAAATTTTTTACTTTGTTTTACTTATTAACCTTTCTCTGATTTGTATATTTAACTTAGCAATACAATATTTTACTAAGTTTGTACAAAAGATTTGTATATAACTTCAAACTACGTAACTTCGATTATGCTATATGATATCTTTTCTTCACACAAATATATACACATGTGCGTGTAATTTTGTGTGAGTGTTATACACATGAATATATATATATATATATATATATATATATATTTGTGTGAGTACGTACTCACATGCATGTATAAATATTTGTGTAAGAGTATGTTATGTTTGATTTTATTAAAAATTTTAAAAAATCCACTTTTGCGATACTTAAAAAAAGATTTATATTAATTTATTTTTATTCATTCCACAATTCTACGAAATATAAATCACAACATGTACAAACAAAAACTAATATTACAAACAATAAAATGAGATAAAAACAAAAACTTTATACAAAATGAAAATTCGTTGTGCGCTAAAAACTATAGTCGTACGTTGTAGTATCTCCTTCTTTTAGATTTAATGGCTACCCAAAATATTACCAATATTATCAAAAATGTTTGTGTATTGAGCCATAAAAAGTTTTTTTGTTATCAAAAATAGGATGCACAAATAGTGTAAACTATAATTTCTATTCTCAATTTTCATGTCAATTATGTTATTTAAGTTTTGAGTTTGAAGTTATGCTTGTCAAATGTTCTTTCAGTTAATCCGGCTAAGCAAATCTTTGATATTTTGAAAACTCAAGTCATTTTGCGAAGTTTTACGCCGTAACTTATTAGATATCATCTGTCACCCAGACAATTTTAATAGAGTATTTTTTATGAAATCATAACAATTTATCTATATTCATAAAAGTCTGATCCTCCTGGAATTTTATATTTATGATTCCAATTATAAACATATTCGTATTTTGGATAAGGCACTCTGTCTCGTTTTCTCTTTTTTCTATCCGTACAACAACCATCACGAGCACAAGCTGGACCACATTGTTTTTGACATTCAGAAGGGCAAGATGCTGGAAGTTCACTTGTAGAGCTTGGTATTACTGTTCGTTGAGGTGTGTACACATGTTGAATGTGAATTACTTTACTCATTGGTGGAGCTGGTGGTGCTGGATATGCAGGATTAGATATAAACTGTTGAGGTAAATCAATTGTAGGAGAAAGAGCAGGTATTTTTGGCGGAGAAAGCATTTCTTCTTGCATTTGTCGTACTATTGATGGATCAAGAAAAGGACGACAACAATCAAAATCACAGCCTGGTGCACATTTCTTGGGACAGGTACCAGGGCATTCATCAAAAGGCGATGGAAGAGCAGGAAGTGCAGAAAGTGACATTGGTGGAGGTGGAATATAAGTAGGAGGAGGTGGTGGTGGAGGAGGAGGAGGCGGAGGTGGAGGAAGAGGTGGTGGAAGAAGGGAAGTAGAAAGATCTGCTGAACAACATTGCTGATTACACTGCGGAGCACAGCTACTTGGACAAGATTGTCCACATTGCAGGGCAACATTGTTAGTGCAACATGTAGAAGGACATGAAGCATCGCATGAGTTTATACACACTCCAAAACATAGCGGGGTCATAAGGTTTTCGTTAATGTTTAGCTGAGGTGGTGTAAACACACTAGAAGGCTGTGCAGGTTGAGATGGGCTAGATGGACCAATACAACAGGTATCTAAGCAGTGTGGAGCACATTCCTAAATGTTTGAAATTATACAAATAAAATAATTTTTTTTTAAATATTAGAAGTTGTAACAAAAGTTATTTTTTGAATAGTTCTTACAGCTGGGCAACCTGGTGGGCACATTCCTTCAACAAGTAGTGGTACAGGTGTCACTCCTGTTGAGCAACAACCTTTGCCGCAAGACGGCAAACAGATTCTAAATAGATAATAGATAAATAGTAGAGATAAATCTATGATTTAGATTGATAAACAAACTTAAAGTGTAATAAATAGCCCAAAAACTTTTTTTTCAAGTAAAAACTAAAAATCTTTTTTTTAAGTAAGCATGAAAAAAAAAAAGACTTGCTTTGAATTGAAAAAGAAATTTCTTTTAATTGCTTAAGTACAATTAAAAGAAATTTCTGTTCAAATGAAAGACTTGTTTTCAATCAGTTTCGAAATAAATTGCTTCTAATTACTTCAAAAGAAAGAGTATTTGTTATCAATCAGGTTCGAAAAAAATATAAAAAAGTTAAACTTATCAATACTTCGTTAACAATAAAATTTTTCAATCTTACTTTTTGCACATAGGATGACAATGTTTTTTAATTTTAGGACTTTTGATGCAGCATTTAGGAGCACAAGATGGCAGGCATTCTTTTGCGCATAATGGATGACAATGTGTTTTGTAGTAGTGAGCTATAAAATAGAATGCTTACTAAATAAGTTTCACCAGAATATTTTTATCGTATATATAATATTTATATCGAATTTATATTGTATTTATATGATTAAAAAATTAAATGTTCAGTAGCGTAAAAACTATAACTTTTAAAAACTATAAATATGCTATTTAAAAAATTATCAGAAACTTTTATCAATAGATGTTTATAAAACTTTAAACTTTTTAAAAGTTATTAGTATACCTTTAATAAATTTTCTTTCAAACCTGCTGAAGTCAATGTCAAGTTTCTTTTATTCTGTAAAAGTTATCGGGTATTTTAGTCATTAAACGTTTGTTTGCTTTACATATCAAAAGTTTATGGTGGATTAAGGAGGGAAGAGTATAAGGAATGCAGAGATTTACTTACATAATTTAGAAACGCCGAATAATTTAATATAAAATATTTAAGACTTTATATTTTATATTATTTCGAACAAAAATGCATTTTTAAATAAACAAAATTATTTTTAATACAATCTTCACTTCAATCGTAAAATCAATTAAAACCGTTGAATTTTAAAATTTATTACTTGAGATTAAGAAAAATGTTTAAAACAAGTTTTAAAGTTGTGTAAAAATATTTTTCTAAATTTCTTATTTCAATTTTTATTTTTGATTTGCAACAGTCAGTTTGTTTGCATTTTAGTTCAGTTTTATCAAATGGCAACGTGAAATAAAATAGATAGCGTAATATTTTTGATGAGTTCTTTGTCGTACTACACTGTTTGCTTGAATATAATACTTATTATAAGTTAGATGATATATCGTATATTCGAGAGCATCGAAACTTAGATATTGATAGTATTATAAAAGTAACTCTCCAAAAGCTTTGTCTACCATGTTTTCGATCTCGTGCTTTAGTTTAGCATCCGTTTTTTTATCAGTTGTCCTGTTAACTCCATTTTTCTTTGAAGAGTTACTGTCTTTATTTTTGTTTTTAACAATAAGATCAGTTTCAGTCAAGTCTTTTAATTTTATTAAATCTTTCTGTAGTAATAGGGAGTTGTCTAAAGAGTCGTTGTCAATGTTGGCGCCGGCAATTTCGCCTGAATTTGATGTTGCCGCTACATCGATACTCTCCAATGACGGATTTAAATCTAAATTACCTTCTTGCGAGTCTGTTGCAGATAGCATAGATGTTGTTTTTGCTTTAAACGACTCTTTTGCTGCTTCTTTTGCTGCTTCCTTTTCTGCTTCCTTGGCTGCTTCTTTTGCAGCTTGCTTGGCTGCTTCTTTTGCAGCTATTTTTGCAGCTTGCTTAGCTGCTTCTTTAGCTGCTTCTTTTGCTGCTTCTTTAGCTGCCGCTGCTTCCTTAACTGCTTGCATAGCTGCTGCCTTTGCAGCTTTTGCTTCCTTTGCTTTTTTTAATGCAATTTTTTTTTTCTTATGATGTATCTTTGCTTCTTCTTTTTTTGCTTCTTGTTCTTTTGCATGCTCCGTTTCTTCGTCGCTTTCCTGTTCTGTTTGCTCTTCGTCTTCTTTTTTACTTTCTTCGTAATCAGAAAAACTTGCTTTTGGTTCAGCTGAAGAGTCAGTAGAGCTTTCCGTTAAAGATGAGGTAATACCATTACTCACTGCCATTGGAAGGTTTGCATGATCAATAGCTTGATCGAGCATATTGGAGTGGATAGGTCGGACTACTTCTGGAGCATAACTTGATTCTTTTTTGTGCTTAATATTTTTTTGTTTTTTAGTTTTTGTTGTTTTTTTCTCTTTTGACTTTGATTTATTTTTTTTCTCTTTTAATTTTTTTTTTTCTGTTTCGATATTTTCTTTTTCAGATTGTTTTTTCAAATCGTCTAGCATATCTATAATTGAAAAAAAAATTTAAGAAATGTTATTAATTATTATGATATATTAAACAACCTTAATAAAAAGATATTATTATATTATCTTTTAACGTAAAACATTTGTATATTCATTATTATTAATGGCGATTTATGTCAAATATTTTAAATATATGAAAATAATAATTGATTTATAAAGTTATATTTCTATAAAATATTTCTATAAAAGCCAATGTTGTAATATTTAGCAAAAACTGATTCTAAAAATATTTTTGTACTAAATATCTTAATCATTATGCAAATTAGTATCTTTACATCATTTAATTAAACGTTAGCTGTTTTTGGTTTGAATTTCCATCAATTGTCTTATCAATTTATAATTTTACAATACCATATTTTCAAAGTTACCCTAAACCAAAAATGCAATGAAAAAATGGAATTAAAAAAAAAGCAATAAAATACCACCAGTTAAATTAAAGTTTAATAAAAGACACAGTAGGAAGAATATTACGATTTTTTACGTGACCTCACGCAGATTTGCAAAGGATTTTTTACGTGACCTCACGCAGATTTGCAAAAGATTTTTTACGTGACCTCACGCAGATTTTTTACGTGACCTCACGCTCATTTCTCACGCAGATTTGCAAAGGATTTTTTTAACACTCCAGATATTTTTAAATGTCTGGTTGTTGTGGTCTGGTGTCAAATGACATGTTCATACTGGTGTCAAATGACATGTGTGGTGTCTGGTGTCAAATGACATGTTCATACTGGTGTCAAATGACATGTGTGGTGTCTGGTGTCAAATGACATGTTCATACTGGTGTCAAATGACATGTGTGGTGTCTGGTGTTAAATGACATGTTCATACTGGTGTAAATGATGTTTTTCTATTATTTTCATTATATTTTTTAATCAGAAAAAAAAATCCTAGTTTCAAATGCATTTAAAGATTTTGAGAAATTAATAATTTCTTTCATTCCACTACTGGAGTGAATTAAGAATAACCTTCATTCTACTACTCTAGAATGAAGAAAATTTATCGTTAGAGTTTTTAAAAAAATATATAAGCTTAACCATACCACAAAAGCTACATGTGCTTGGACAGTTAACTACCATTGCATCTTTCGAGGTTTCACAAACACCGGCAATAGCAAGTCTATCACAGCTATCCAACTTGTCGCGACATTGATCTAAAAAATAATTTCATTTGAAACAAAAATAACAAATATAAGAGTAATAATTTCATATTTAAACAATTTTGTAATTTAATCAACTATTTTTTCAATAATTTAAAAATATGTGGTTTATGCAAAACCTCTACAAATCTTTTTTTTTTTAAATAAGTTATGAGCCCCGCATGAAAAAGTCATCCCAAAAATAATATTATTAATAATATTATTTATTTGATCTTAAAGGAACCTTCACATGAACAACTTTTTTTTTTAAATCCTTATAAATGCTCTCGTATAAAGTTTTCTCATTTAAATTTCTCTATTAAACTTCTCTAATTTCTATCATTTAAATTACTAAAAACGATGTGGTTACTTTAATATGGCTACCGATAAATTTTCTACATTCCATATCTACCAATTATTCATTATCTACCGATTATCCATTATCTATCAATAATTTTTTTAGATTCACAAAGAATCTTCTTGATTATTTCTTGAGATTTACCAGATTTTTGTGACCAAAACGTTTTTAGAATCTGGTGGACATAATTAATGACAGAATATGAAAAATTTTATCTTCTACTCATCAGTTTTTATACATTTGATACATCGTTATTTTTGTCGACACATTTGATACATCATTGTTTTTGCTAACACATTTGATATATCGTTATTTTTGCCGATACATTCAATAAATTGTTTTGTTTTTTAAATTTCAATAAAAAAAAAGCTTAGGTCACAAGTTTGGAGAGGAAATGTTATATCAAGTTTGTTTAGGAGATGTTATATCAAGTTAATGAGGAATTTTAAAATAAGTATAAAAGTGTAATAAAATATTTAATAATTTTTTATTTGCTTTACTAATTTAAAAGTTTATTACATACTTTCATCTTGTTTGAGTAGCACCTTTCCGGCGTCTTGAATGTGGTGTTCAATGCTTTTTAGTAACATTTGAGACACCTCTTTTTCAGCTTCTTGCACCCTATCCACTAAAGTTCAGAAAAATGAAACAAATAATTCTTGTACCAAACAAATATTTACAAAAACTTATTTTATATGACCAAATACCAACCGATGCTTTCATCCACCAACTTATTTATTGCATCTGTTGCTGCTTTAAGATGCACACCTACAAACAAGTATAAACACACAAATACACATACATAGGTATATATATACATATATATATCTATATATTTATATATCTATATATCCATATATCAATATATCTATATCTATATCTATCTACCTATATATATATATATATATATATATATATATATATATATATATATATATATATATATATATATATATATATATATATATATATATATATATATATATATATATATATATATATACGGTTAAGTTAATGGGTAGAATTCAATAAATACTTCTGTATTTATTATATATATATATATATATATATATATATATATATATATATATATATATATATATATATATATATATATATATATATATATATTTATATATATATATATTTATATATATATATAATAAATTGTTCTTTCCTGCTTTAATAATGGCTACTTATTATTTTAGTTTTTTTTAATTAATTTGATGCTTTTTAGTAAATATTCATCGTACATCGACTTACATACGACATGCAATATATTTGCAAAACTATTATCTACATGTATACTTTTTAAATAAACACTGCAGTGATTTTAGTACATTTTTATTTATAATGAGTTAAAAGATTTTTTTTAAAACCTGACAAAGTTTTTCCTTTTCTGTATCTATGGTTGACTGCGGCCGGCATTTTTCTAGCAATTTCTTTTTTTACGATGTTTTCAACTATTTGAGCGGTAAATGGCTCCGTATCATCCTTTAGTTGGATTCCTTGAAATAATAATGCTAATACGCTAATGTATAAACTAATTTTTTGGCAAGCCATTGGATAAATCACTTTAAAATATGTTCATAAGTGTCGCAAAGTTTAACGTTAAAAATCAAAACATATCCTAGCCATATTTCTGACGTAATTTAAGTTTTACAAGTTAATTTTTAAAATATTTAAAAAGGCTAAAAAAATGTTTTTTAAAATTGTTAACTTAAGTTGAAAAAGTTGTCGTGTTCATTTGTTTGAAAGGATCAAACCAATATTATCCGCTTGGATGAACACAAAGAAAAGTTATTTGGTTTTGCGCAGTATGTATGGCTGCTTTCATTAGCGTAAAACAGTTCTACTCATTGGTTTCGACACTTACTCCAGCTGCGCATGAATGCTGCAGAAGAATCATTAAGCATAATTGTTGCTAATTTATCGTGTTGTTCAGCTCTCATTTTGACCAGTTTATAAATTGTTTTCCTTATTAATGTTTTTGAAATTTTTATTATACCTAGACGTTTTTTATTACGATGTCCGCTGTTTATATGTCTTGTATCAGCGCGTCTTTAATTAACACTTTTTCCGTTGACATGTCTTAAACATCTTTTTATTCACTTTATTATTAGGAAATATTAAACAAAGCGTTTTCAGCGTTTGTATATAAACAATTATTAAAATCAATTTTAAACTTAAAGTTTTTTTTGAATTATGAAATAATAAAAAAATATTATTTTTTACTGTTACTCAACTCTTTTCGATTAAAATTAGTTATTTATTTATTTTCGATTAAAATTATTAATTTATTAATTCAAATTAATTTATAATAGTTAATACTAAATAAAGTTTTCAAATTAAAATAATAATAATAATAACAACAATGGCAATAATAAAATAACAGCAATGGCAATTATAATAATAACAATAACAGTAATAACAAAATAATAATGGTAATAATAATAACAACAATAACAAGAAAAAACAATAATACCGAGCCAGCATTTGATCCTAAAAAGACGTCTTTTGAACGTTGAAAAGACTTTTTTTTAGGATCAAATGCCGGCTGGGTAATAATAAGACAAAAGCTCTCTGGGTAATAATAAGACAATAAGATCTCCAGAGATTCTGGAGATTGATTCTCAGTTTTTTAATCGTAGTTATGTTTAACACTCAACATTATTCTTAAAATTTAAAAGTTGAATTTTTTATTATGATCTTGATTCTTTTAATCACATCCTACCTGATATAGCCAACAAACAGGTTGACCGTTGCCTGACATTCGTATTACTCCAGCTTCTGTATCTAAAGTGGTTTCCTGCTTAGACTCTTCTACAGCTTATGATTAGGATAACATACTTGCAGAAGTCTTGCAGAAGTGTTCTCCGGAGCTGTTGTTTGTACTTTCGAAACTGTTTAACATGTGCTTATCAGAGTCTTGTCTTTTGTCCCTATTTTCCAAAATTCTGGAAAGCAGTTGGAGTTGTCTAACTACCATTCCATTAGTCTTCTTACTATCATAAGCAAGGTTTTTGAGTCTTTAATTAACAAACATGGCTCATCATAATAGACTTTTGATACTCTTGAGCTAAAGATAACAGATTTCATTTTTTTCCAATAGGCCTTGTGCGAGTCTTATTGAGACCAATTATCCGTAGAGATTTCTTTTGTTGACATTTAAGTTGCATGATTTTCATTTAATTTACTTTTACTCCAGATTACAACACCATACTTATTGTGTTTGTAGATTTTCAAGGGACTTTAATATAAATATTGTTATTTAATAGGGACTTTCGTGCAGTTGTTTGACAATGTTGTACTTCAACCAGGTTATCTTATTTATCGAAAAAGAATTAGCAAAATATTTGTCAAGAATCGGTATCGTTTAACTTAAATGACTATAGACTGTGCACAATATCAAAAAGTTCAACACAATTTCAAACTGAAAATTTTAATTTCAGCACTCTTGAGTTTCCTCACTATAATAATACACAAACTGAATAAGTATTATGGTATTTGATGCATAATGGTATTTCAACACATGGCAGTTGTATTTTTCAGCAATATTTACATATCTATATTATTTAATACCAGATAGTAAAACCTAGTGTGGTACATAAGGCTTTTGAATTTTTTTCAGAATACGCCCAACAAGAATTTTGACTTAAGTTACTTTGTTTAGCCATTAGTGTGAATATTTCTAAATTTTATTATAGTCTATATATTTAAAGGATCAGTTTTGTATATTTTCTCAATGGTAATATTTATTTCAGTTAAATTTCTTTGTATATGTTATGAATATCATTGTAAATAAGATTAAAAAAGGATAGAAAATTGTTTTCTTTGCTTAAACACATTTCTTGTTATTATTTATACAACAATTTTAGTGAAATAATGTTTTTAGTAGATTTTGTATCAGTATAATTTTTTTTTCCATTATGCAAATAATATTACTTCTCACAGTAAACTTTTTTGTGATCTGAAGAAGTTAGTATTATAAGTTTAGTTTTCTTTAACATAATAACAACGCATTTTTATAAAGAAAAAGCATTGAAGGCATTTTCATAAAGGGATAGTAGAGATAGTGATTTAGATTTTACACGTGAAGATAAAACATTGTAACAATGCGATTTAAAAGTTTATTTCCTTCACTTTTGACTTTATATTATTTTTTATTTTTATAACATATCTCTAGAATTTCTAGTTTTCTTGGTTTATGACAATAACTGTTTTGTGCTCATTTTTATAAAAGCAAGGCGTACTGATATAAGTTTGATTTAGTTAGACAGGTCATAGAAAATAAACCTTTTACTTTGACAATATCATTTTTGAACTCATGATATTTTTTCCTTTGCTTCATGAAAGTTTTTTATAAATAATAACAATAAAAGGACATATCAACATTTTTTGAAACCAATAATTCAAAAATAACATTATTGAAACCAACAATTAAAAATAAAATATCAGTGGAACCTTATTTTTAAATAAAACTACAGCAGGAAGAACTTTTCTCCATAAGATTTTTATAACTAACAAGCAACGTAAACATCAGGACCTGATGTATCATTCTATATACGTAAACATCAGGACCAATGTATCATTCTATAACTTCATCTATTTTTAAAAATTGTACTTTGATCATAAGAGAAAGCAGTTTAGGACAGCTGTGACTTTTAAAACGGATTTTAGTTCACCTGATTCAGGCATTTGATTAAAGCATTTTAAAAGTCATGAACACTAGTATATAAAGGATGCTCATGAAATAAATATGAAAGATCCAATACTACTTTTTTTATTTTAGTGGGTTTATGAATTTTTTTTTTTTTTTTCAATTAAACTTAAATTGAGTTTAAAGAAGGACAAAATAAAAAGTAGTTAGAGAAAAAGTTATACACAAATATTTTGAAAATCAAAGTAAAAATACAATAGCAAAAGAGTAGCAAGTACATCTCTAAACTGTTTGTTGTGTTATTTAACTCAACTAACAATGGCTGTCTTTATATTCCTAAATATATATAACTGCTCCTATTATATTGCTAAATATATATTTTTTTAGTAGTTTTTCTTCTTCATATTTATTTTATGTACATGCTTTATAAGCACTGTGCAGACAATATGCAGTTTGCTAGCATGAGTATGTGTGTGCTTGTTTGTTGTGTGTATATATATATATATATGCGATAAATGAGGAATTTATTGAGACCAAAACATTTTCTGAGTTATTGTTTACAATACAATATACAATAGCAAAAGAGTTGGAAGCTACAATACAATAGCAAAAGAGTTGGAAGTCTACACTGTTAGTTGTGTTATTCAACACAACTAACATCTGCTGCCTAATATATTGCTATATATTGTGGAAAAGTAGATACGAAATTTAAATAATTAAACATGATAAGTTTGCGGTAAAAAATCAGCACCCTATATTTATGAGTGCTCAATTTTTAGTAAAATATATGTTAAAGAGTGTTTAGAAAAATGTCCTTTCCCTCTTATCAAACCACATAGTAGTTGACATGTGTTTTGACCTGATTAAGTTTTAAGTCATTATTGTAAACTGGCTATGGAATTGTGTATACAAAATGACTTTAAAGTTGTGCCTAAAACATCAAATCCTTCAAACTACTTGAGGTTTATAGAAAAGTTTTGGGCAATTAATGTTGTTTAAAAAAATGTCTAATATTTTGGATTGTTGTTTTGTGCACAAGCTATTGGGTACCACTAAAGCAAAAGTTCAAATTTTTTTTAGACACCCACATTGAAAGTTTGATATTTTTGAAAATATTTTTCCTATAATGTTATTAAATTTTTATATCGTTTTAAATTAAAATTGATAAGTACCTTTTTTTTTTGTAGTTTTTTTACTTTTTTATTTATTTTTTTTAGATGCTTTATTAGCACTGTGCAGACCATATGCAGTGTGCTAGCATTAGTATGTGTGTGTGTTTGTGTGTGATAGAATCGAAATTTGTCATTTTAAGAATTTTTTTTTATCTTTTCAAATACAAATACATAAATTATTATTTATATACATATATATATATATATATATATATATATATATATATATATATATATATATATATATATATATATATATATATATATATATATATATATATATATACACACACATATATATATATATACAACTGTGTGCGTGTGTGTGTGTGCGTGTGTGTGTGTGTAGATTTTCAAGTCTAGTTTTTAAAAATCTGTCTTTCATACATGATTCTTGTCCTAATTTGAACAAAACTAAAGTTTTTCATTAAGTTCGGTAATAAAAGTTCAACATTTTTTCTAGTTATTATTGTTTCTGGATCCTTAATTAGTTCTATTGCTTTTTCCCTCAACTCTTATTTCTGTGTTTCTGTCCATTTAACTCGAGATTTTACACTTGTGCTTTTTTTGTCTTCAATGTGCTCCTAAACAATAAATACTTTTGATTTACAACTAGTTAAGGAAAAAGGTCTTATTTTACTATTTTTTTTATAAATTGCAAATTACCTTTCTTTTTAATGATCTTATTTTATCATAGATTTGTTTTGGTGATGCATTTACAGCTTTCAAAATATCTTGCATTGGACTCTGATTCTGTTGTAAAAGGTTTGTTTCTTTTGTAGACCATTTTTTTCTTGGTGTGTTATTTGTTGTTTTTAAAGGTGAAGATTTTAAAATATCACTGGGCATCATGACTGAGTGAAACATTTTTCTTACTTCTTTACTACCTTTCAATGCTGCATTTCTTTTATCTATTATTTCATAATATTCATCAGCTGTTTCTTTAGTGTGACTCATAAGTGTAGCTACCTCTTTTTGGTATATGCTTCCTTGTATACGAACACCTGTAGATGCTGACCTTCTAAATGCTCCAGCTGTTAAGTTTTTTATTGGTCCTTTGTTTTCGAATTGCCACAGTTTTTCCATAAATTGTGCAATCTTTTACTTACATCTCCAGATGAGAGTTTATTTCCTTTCCAACTTAAAAAAATGTTGTTTGATTTTTGATGGTCTAACATTATACGAACTCTTTCCACAAAGGTTTTTAGTTTCAAAAATTCTTTTTGATTTAAAATAATTCGAGCTGAACCATGATGTAAAAGTGTTTTATGCTCCCACACTTCTATTTCAAAATGTTCATTGTCAAGTTGCTTAGCTTTTTTATATTCTCTTAGCTTCATATTAACTGAAGCGCCTGGTCTTTGTGCGCATCCTAATGCTATAACTACTAGTAGATGATCCCTCATTATGCAATAATCAGTGCTATTGAGTGATGTATTTATACAAATCTTTTCTTTTTGTTCAAAAAGATCTTCTGCCATTTTAAAAATGCTGCTTTTCTCGTATTTCTCAACTTGCTCTTTATCAATAAGCATTTCCATGTCATCAGCTTTACGTTGGTAACTATATATTTGAGCTTTTTTTGTATAAATCCGAATCCATTGCTTAAGTTGAGACTCAGCATTTGTTAATAGTTTCATATCAACTTTATAATCTTCATCTTGCCGCATAAGAAATTGGCAAAAACATCTAAACGAAGAGAGATATTTTCTTATAGATCCTGCTTTAGTTATCTTTTTTTTTACAATACTCCTGGATGTACTTCTTTTCTAAAGTAGCCAAATTTTTATCAAATGCAATGCTAATATCCTCATATACGCCTACTTCAATCAAAATTCTTCTCGCATCTCGAACAATTTCAGTAACTGAGTTTTGTTTGCATCCATGGTTGGAGCCAGTCATAAAATTAAAAAATAGGTTAAGTAGATTTTCCACATAGTTGGATAAAGTTTTTTCTTTAATATCATCACGCAGAGGTATTGTATATTCTTCATCAGAAGAGGTTTCTGTATTTTTACTATCTGATAATGACTCTTCGTCATTTATTGATGACTCATATGTTAGCTCCTTAATAAAACTTTTATGTTCAATTTTTATAAATGGATTTAGCTTCTTTGTTTTGTTCAATGTAAAATCAGTTGGTAAATCTCCATATAGTTTTTTTGGAGAAGTCAGAATATTTTTTGGCATTAGTTCTGTAGAAATTTTCTTTGCTGAATATAAGAGATTAAAGTATTCTTCACCTTTTTGAATCTAAAAATTATTCAAACAAAAATTGTTAAGAAATCTTTTGGTATGTATAGTATGTATATGATAATTAAAATGTATCATGAATCATTTTAAATTATTATTTTTTAAATTAACATATTAAATCCTCTACGTGTATAATTGAAAAGTTGTATTAAAAAAGGTTGAGACGAAACGTTATAATAAAGTAGAGTATGGTGGAATATTTTGTTATTTAGATAACCCAACTCTGGATGAAAATTAAATGAGATATTACCTTATGAACTGATTTTAGGTGTTGTGGTAAGTGCAGCACAACCTTATAACATTTATCCACAGGGCATTGTCTGTAGCAATCGTAATCTTTTTTTTCACTTTTTTTTTCAATCTTTCCTCTTAATCCATACTGTCCTGTAGTTGATGCAGCACTGCTAACGGAGTATGAATGCACTTGCCTCATATGCTTTGGTATATCTTTTACACGTTTCTTGCATAAAGGGCATGACTTTTATTTTCTTGGCTTGAAAGATGACATCTAGTATGAGAGTATATTATATATTATTTTAAAACATCAAGAAATACAGTTTCTCTCAATACTAATAATTTTATTATGTAAGAATATTTCGCTGGGTTATGGATACCAGCATCATCAGCTTGTAAAATATTACAATAAATTTTAATCGTTATAGTTTATATGTTATTATACCTTTATTTAAATGTTATTGTTTATAGTAACAGTTTTATATAAACTATAAAGATTAAAAATTATTGTAATATTTTACAAGCTGGTGATTTTAATTTAATTTGAAAACTTTATTTTTTGTTGATTGTTACAATAGTTTTAACAAGAATAAAACTAATTAAAATCAACACATTTAACATTTATAGACAATACACACTCACATGAAAGTTGTTAATAAAAAAATGATGTTGGTATCCATAACCCAGCGAAAATTTCTTATATAATAAAACTATTAGTATTAAGAGAAACTGTATTTCTTGATATTTTAAAATTATATATATATATATATATATATATATATATATATATATATATATATATATATATATATATATATATATATATATATATATATACATATATATATATATATATATATATATATATATATATATATATATATATATATATATATATATATATATATATATATATATATATATATATATATATATATATATGTATTACTAATATTATTATGTATGTAAATACAATAACTAGTTTTATAACACACCTAAAGTCAATATCACAATCTGATGTGTGTGTATTGTTAGTTTGAGAATCGCCTATAAAAAAAAAAAATTAATATTAATAAAAAATGATATTAACAAAATAAAATTTTATGTTCACATCACTGTTTCTTTTTTTAGTTGCATTTACATGTTTCTAATATGAGAAAAAATTTTAATGATGTGCTGGGTACCTGATTTATTATTTGTGTTATTTTACCTTGCAATTATCAAAGGTGCTTGGTAATTTTTAAAGGTGCCTGGAAACCCCCCAAAAAAAAAGTGTCTAAAATTACCAGGTACTTAGTACACAAAAAAATTGCTGAGTACCCATCACATCTCTCAGAATCTTTTTATTTGACTTTAGGTAAAACTCAAAGGTTAATTGCTAATTAAAATTAATATTAAGATTTGTTTTATATGAAAAATAAATTAAAAAGTTTAAAAATTGAGTTGACAGTTTAGACTTATATAGCCTTTAGTTATAAAAAGTTAATCGATGATGCAAAAAGGATCTATTTATTATTTACAAACTATGTTATCATTGTATATAAAATAATTTTATTTCTATATAATATACTTCTTATATAAAATATATAAATTATTTTTGACAATTTTTGGGTTGATTTTATTTGATAATATTTAATACCTGTGTGAAATGAACTGGTTGCTGTGAAAAGGGTTGAAAGTTGTGGTGTAAAGTCAATAACATTATTACAGCCACTAAGATAAAAATAATATAAAAGTTTATTTTTGAAGTTAAACAAGTTTTATATTAAAAATTCAGTTTTGCAAAAAATTCAGTTTTGAAAAGTGTATAATAAAAATTTTAGAATGTTATTCTTACTCTAAAGAATTTTCCATCAATTTTGTGTTTATATCTTCTATAAAAGTGTTTATATCTTCTATAAAATTTTGTGTTTATATCTTCTATAAATTTTGTGTTTATATCTTCTATAAAATTTTGTGTTTATATCTTCTATAAGTTTTGTGTTTATATCTTCTATAAAATTTTGTGTTTATATCTTCTATAAATTTTGTGTTTATATCTTCTATAAAATTTTGTGTTTATATCTTCTATAAATTTTGTGTTTATATCTTCTATAAAATTTTGTGTTTATATCTTCTATAAAATTTTGTGTTTATATCTTCTATAAAAGCTGGATTTTCCTCGTTTTTTATTTGTTTTCCATGAGCTAAAAATTTAACAAAAAAAAATTCTCAATTATAATTTAAAGCATATAAACAAGCATCATAATCAATAGAATTTTATTTCAAACATTTGTATTGTTTGGTGTATATTAATCCATCATAATGATTTTTTGATTGATCTCTTTTAAGCATCAAAGTAAAATTAGGTTTTAAACAGCTCCCACTTGTTGGGTCAGTTGGATTTAATATGTGTGATTTTTCAAGTTCATAACTTTCTGTAACATGGTTAAGTTCCAAAATAAGAATTTGGCATTGCAGTATGTTTCAAATTATGTTTGGTATTAAGTCACTTGTTGAACTGTCATATAAACCCATATTCATATATGAATCTATTTCATTTATTGGATCTATATTTCTGGAATTAAGAAACATCCCATAATATTCTAAGTTCATAAGTATATTTTTTCTTATTTCACTTAATAAATAATTCTTTGTAAATGTTGGATCATCGCACAAATGCAAAAATTATATGCAGGCTATAATGGAATTAATTATGCAGTGTCTATCTCCTTTCACTGGAAGAACAGTTAGCTCATCATGTTGTATGACTTTAGCATGCATACTAAATACATAATAAAATGTATCTGTAACACTATGCATAATTAGCATAACGCATGTCATAAGTAGTTA